TCCCAGGGTAACCTTGGCAAACTTGCGAAGGCGAGGCCAGGACTTTGGGTTCTTCGTCACAGTCTCTGCGATCTTAGTCGACACCAAGGCTGCAGATTCATCACTGACCTTCTTGCCTTCCTTCTGGGCAAAACCGAGGATGTATCTCATAGTATGAGCCTCATCTCCCCTGGCCTCCTTCACCAATTTTGTCACCGCGGCCACTTCGTCATCAGTGGCTTTCGCAGTGGCCTTCGCTAGAGCTGCGAGATCACTGGCTTTCTTGATAGCAGCTTCGTCTCCTTTGGCAGCGTTGGACAACTTCAAGGCATACTTCAGCAATTGGTCATCAGCTTGTCCGGAGATAGCATGAGTTGCCGCTTCCGCAACCTTTTGAGCTTGAAGACGGCGGCCATTGTTGTCCTTATTGGGGAAGGCGGGTGAGTTCTCGGCGATGGCAAGACTGGAGTAGCACGCGACCAAGGTGGCCACGAGCAGAGCAACGAAGACACTGAATCGCATTGGCGCCTTCGAGAGGATAATGGTCTTTAATGGACAATTGTGAGTGAATTCGAGAATGAAGGAGAAAGCTGGCCTTTAATCAATGTGCTTACTACTACAACTGTAGTAGCGCCGAGCCAGTTTCCGCGAGCCCTAATCTTCCAGCGCTACGCGCTGTATAGATTTTGGTACATTTATAGGGTATAGTTGCTGATAACCCGTTCGACCAGACGGGAAGCAGGAATATTGGTTGGTTGAGTAATTTCCCCTTTTGCCATATATATATATATATCTAGAATCGAAAGTGATGTTAAAAGTTGGTAAAACAGCCAGCATTTGTCACTCGTACTTTTCAAAAGATGGCTTCATGAAGCAACTAATCAGAAATTTCTGCATTCGACCAGACGGGAAGCAGGAATATTGGATGGTCAAGTAATTTCCCCTTTTGCCATATATATCTTTTTCTTCTTACTGTTATCAAATCCTTGTTGATTATAAATAGCAATGATGGCGTTGTCAACGATACCACGAGAGTAGATACATGTAGTCCATCCACCTGGGCGGGATATCTCGTAGATCGGTAGACAAAGAAACATAAACGTAAGGGCAAAGTCCGTATTGTTGCAGCTAAGGCTTTGAGGCAACGCATGCCTCAAAGCAAAGAGTTTCGGCAACAGTCGAAGTGTAAATTATCAACCGACAGGGCATCCTACAGGGTGTGATCTGTCTGATACGCTGTAAGCAAAATAAAATATTAAGACCATGTTGTTATTATTAAATATATAGGAAGCTCACGTAGAGTGCGGTTCGCCACAACCCTTCTCTATCCTCCTCTTACAACCTCTTGTATCTCGGTCATTATTGTGGAAATGTACCTACCGTTTATGCATACTATATTGACTAGCAGATCTACGAAATATCCGTCCAGCTGGGCGGATAACCCCCCCCCCCCCGATACCACGAACCGGAAGCTAAAGTTCAGGTGATTTATGTACACCACCATTCGGATTCACCAAACGGACGGTATACATAGGTGAAAATGTCGCATATACGCCATCAAATGAAAAAAAAAACGATGCAAAGTATGGGCCTTAACGGTATAAAGTTTAATATACAGTATGTACCCTCGCTTGCCGTCACACTTCCTCCTTATACCCCTTTTAAGCTGATCAGATATTTACCAACTGTGACTCTATTCCTTCAAATTCCCTTGAGGGCTAACGAGGGGGAGAGCTGCTTACCATCCTCCAGAACGCGTATCATTTAGCAACAGGTGCATACATACCCCATTGATATAGTAAACTGGTGTGAACTAGCGCACAACACAGTTCGTCTACCGAAGCCAAAGTTACGCAAATGAGGACGAGCAATGCAGCGATCGAGAAGTTCCGTGAGCGTGGTGATCAGCAGAAACAGCTCCGAGAAATTCAGAAACGCTACTTTTTAATGCAGCCAGAAGACTTGACCATTCTCCTCGACAACGACATCCATTCTTTGCAAAGAGACAGAAACACTCAACAAGCGTTGCCAGCATATGCGCCGCACCCGCGTTCAACCATCACAACCTGCAAACGATGTATGGCGTACAGCAGTAGAATACTTCCGCTTGATCGGTCATGGACTTCATCTCACCAACAATCAGCTCGGCTTTGTGCGAGATATGGTGGCTCCAGATGTGGTATTCAACTCAGAATACGGCCCGGAGGCTATTATGCAGCACTGGTGCTTTATGGACTGGTTCGGCGATGTGAATGTGGAACTCAAATGGGAGGCGACGGACGGCGAGTCGCTGGTGGGATCACAACTACCAGCGTGACCATCACGAAACACACTCTGCGCAACG